TAAGTTATAGTTTACCGCCGGCGAAATTAAAAGGTCAGTACAATGTTCATATAAACTTTTCAAATATTGGCGTTGAGAAACTATTTAATACTTTTGTATTTTTGTATAAAATAATTTCCACATTTAGTATTATTTTACAAGAAAGGCAATTTATTTTAACGATTGTATGACATTTGACAACTGTCAACTAACTTAAAACTAACTTCAGCCCGTGACTAAAAACATGTTGCTAACTTCAGTCCGTGACTAAAGCGCCATAAAGCCACAACTTATCAATGTGTATTTAAAAGGTCACTTAGTTTTATGGAAACATGTACGATAAAGAGCGTTTTAAAGGTGGGAGTAGAAAATAGTATATTATGTATCAAGTTTGATAAACGTCATTTTATACATGAATTTAATTTAGGCACGAGCGAGCTTGCGAGCGAGTGCTTAAGTTAATGAGTGTATAGAAAAGTTTATAAACGAGGTGCATACTATACTTTTTCTACGACAAATACTTATTATTATCTTAAAATGATTTAAATCAAAAATTTGTATAGAGCGCCATCTATGAAACAACAGGGGAAACTGTCAAATGTCACATTTTTACATTTTATAAACACAATTATAAAGGTTATAAATCGAAATGTATCTTAAAACTTGACAGTTTTTCACAGTGAAAGTAAAGAAAATGTTTTATGAGCACTTTACAGTGGAGTCAGTGCCCGAATTTAAGTTATAGTTTACTGCCGGTGAAATTAAAAGGTCAGTACAATGTTCATATAAACTTTTTAAATATTGGCGTTGAGAAACTATTTAATACTTTTGTATTTTTGTATTGAGATAATAAAATAATTTTCACATTCAGTATTATTTTACAAGAAAGGCAATTTATTTTAACGATTGTATGACATTTGACAACTGTCAACTAACTTAAAACTAACTTCAGCCCGTGACTAAAGCGCCATAAAGCCACAACTTTTCAATGTGTATTTAAAAGAGCGTTTTAAAGGTGGGAGTAGAAAAAAAATATGTTTTTAAACCCATAGGTCAAGTAAAAAACGGACCTTTGATTCACAAAAAAAATCTTCTTAGTACTGGTACATACAGAGTGTTTTTTTATTTAAGATTTGATGCAATAAAAATAAAAATGGGCACGCGTGAGTGCTTTAGCGGATATTATAATTTTATCAGAATTTAAAGATAATCCATGACATACATATTTAAGCGATTAATGTATTCACGATCAAATAAATATAATTTAATATTTTCATATTTTTGAATCGCACATTAATTATTATCTATGACACTTATTTATTTAATAGCGTCTTTAAAGGAAAAAGGAAATACATATTTAATTTATGCTTATCGAGAAAAGTATTTATGCTTTTAGTAGGTTAAAGTAAAATGTATGTTTATTGATAAGTGAGTATTACAAATGCAAATAATTCAAGGTATCATTTTTAAAAAGTTACCCTAATTTTAAAAACTAATTTAAAAAAATTATTTTAATTAATCTATTAATGTACGGTCTCATCAAAATGTACATTGGAAATCGATATAGAGTTTGGATTACAAATAATAACATTATTTTAAGTAAGGGATAAACTGGGTATAAAAATTAAAATCGAAATCGTTTGGTTTTGCTTCAACATCTTTGAACAGTTAAAATCCCATCTCTTAATTTTAATTTAAGAGGTTCCTTATTAAGTTTAAAAATTGAAATACCTTTTAAATCATTAAATTCTCTACAAAACATTCTAATCACTATAACACACATTTTACTAGATTTAACTTAATTTCGGGTGGAAAATTCACCGTTGAGTGCCCATAAAATATTTTCTTCACTTTCACTGTGAAACATTGTTGTTATTCCATTTTCAAGGGTTACACATTTTCACCGGTAATGCAGATTCCCATTTTTACGGTTACGCTATTTTTGTATAGATGTCGCTCTACAACCCTTACACTACTGAGAAATTAAAATTCAAATTTTAAAGCAAAATTTAAGTTTTTTCGACAAAATTGCTTTAATATGAAAACCAAAATAAAAAAAAAATTTGAAGAGTCAAAGAATTAACCTTTCCTGAAGACACTTTAAGCATTCTACATTAAATAAAGCCATTTTTGTAATAAAAAGACAATAACTTACTATTAGACGCAATGATGTAAAGAACTAGCACGCTTCCAAAACAAAAACAAGGCAGAAATTGGTGAGCGCATGCTCTTGTCTGCGTAGTAAACACATATCACAATTGTACGATTGAGGAGTGGGAGCTCCACTGTATCATTTTAACCCATAAAGTATATGTACATAAGGAAGTCACAATTGTATAGCCACATGGAGCGTAAGGGATAAAAATATTTCATTTAAATCATTTTTAGTTAATAAAAAGTATTTGTCGTAGAAAAAGAAAAAGTATGCAACTCGTTTATAAACTTTTATAGACTACATTAAATTCTTGACCAAAATGGCGTTTATAAAACTTGATACATAATATACTATAAATAACGCGTTTTTTAGTTGCATAAACTAAACCATTAAAAAGCTAAAAATCTTTAATTTAGTGAATAAGTTATATAGCATATATGCTCAAGTTAAAAATTCTTACTAAAATAAAAAAAAATATTAAGTATTTCATTCAGTAAAAAGCTAAATATATTTTTATGTTTTTTTTAGTTAACCTACGATAAATTTTGAAAATATAAAAAAGACAAATATGTAACTTTTTAACTTTTATTAATTCAATGAAGTTTTAGGGAACATTTTTTTAAGTAATTAAAGGTTCTACAAAATTGCTATTTGACTTTTTGACCTATTACCTATACTTTGTTTCAAGACCTAAAAACCTATTTAAAAAAATAAATCATGCCCTACATGAAAAATAAATGTCTACATACTTATAAGTTGCAGAAAGCAATAACATAAGCGGCTAGGAAAAGCTCAAGGGAGTGCTCGTATTTGATCCCGACTGACGTCACACACTGTAAATCCGTTTTTATTCCCCGAGCGTTATAAAATTAACGTAAACCTAGATAGCTCAGACGGGTTCGATACTCAGAAGTTGTCGAACATTTTTTTCTTTTTTATAAATATGTTGTTCCTTTGTTAAAAAGTTTTGGGTTGGTTGGTTTGTTTTAGTTTTATCGTAACATTATTTAATGTTAATTTTGACGTTAGCGTGAGAATAGACAATTTTGTTGAATTAATTTTTATTTCATCAAAGTGTCAGTTACGATAAGCACATGTTAACATAATAGTTATCCCAATTTTGTAATCTAATATTGGTCAGTTTGAATATTTTTATTATTCTAAGCGCCTCTTCTTTTTAATTTGTTACCGATTTATAACGTAAGCGCCTATATGTTCCCGACAAATAATCGTAAGCAACTCCGAGACATGGCGTTTGCGATTTAACATTGTGTCGCTTACGATAATATTGTGCTCCCGCCTTGATCTATCAAGGCGTTATTCCCGCTCTAAACAGTTTATTCGTGAGTATACCTGCATCGTGTTGATTGCTACCAAGTTTTAAAATAATATTTTATTTAATGAAAAGCTTATAATTCCGTTTTTCATTGCATTATTAATAGTTATCCTAATTATAATTGTTTTTACGTAGTGTGGTTCGTTAAAAGTGTTTTTGTAGTAATTGTATGTTGTTATAGCGTCAAATAATTTGCCTCAAATTTATAACGGTTAGATCATGGTACCATGGGTTAGATCATGGAGCCTACACTAGGAGTCCGAACATCATTTAAACAAGAATCTTCCTAAGATAAGAGGGCGCTGGTGTTCCGTTTATTCCGAAACAATTGTTTAATTTGTACCGAAACGCTAGCATAGACAATCAGCGCCGCTGGTGGTGAAAAAAATAAACAATTTGTACAATTTGGAGGGCAGGTTTTATCAATTTTCCCTATAAAGTTCGGGCTCCTTGTGTAGGCTCCATGGGTTAAATACTGGTTTGTAAATAAAAATCGATCGATTTTTTCAAAGAAAGCTAATGTAGAATTTCATTTTCAAACATTGTTTGGGAAAATATCGTTGGTGATATTTTATAAATTAATTTTTTTGTAATTTTTTTTCTTAGTAAAGTAAAAAATAAATGTCGCTATCGATGTTTTGACAAAAGTAATCATCAAATCTATATCCCAAAAAGTAACGTAAATGTAACTTAAGCAACAAGACTAATTTTACATTTTCCTAAAGATGTTCTTATAAAATATCGTATGCCACAAAATTTAATGAAAATTTTAGATTTGATTCGATCTTACTTAAATATTTGAATTCTACATTAATAAAATAATGCCTCACCAGTTTTCAGATAAATAACTAAAGCTCCCCCACAAAAAAAATCTCTCCTGATAAATTTAGGTTTGGTCGCTTACGATGTTTTGTCAAATAACCATCGATATACATTTTATATTTTACATTTTTTGTACCCCTTTTTGTCAATTCTCGTTCATTGTGGCAACAGCGCATCAGTCTAAACTTGACAATCGGCCAAAATAAATTAAAAGTTTTAAGACGACAGTTCTATCGTCTCCTAGCAATGTTTAAAGGTCCTATGTTTAACCTATGAGCTCTTTTTTGTTCTCATTCGATTACTCTATTACCTGGAATTTTTTTATTTTTTAATTTGGCATCTCCATTCAATGGCATTGCTATCAGCAAGGTAAACATTTATATTTCTTAGGAAACTTTCTTGACCCATTACTGGTAATATTCATAAGAAAAAATTGAACCTACACCTCGCCAAAGTTTTTTTTGAGTGCGTTCCACAAACTTCAAATACCTACAGTCAGATGTTTCGACCTATATTGGGTCTCATCAGTGTCGGGCAACTTGGTTTAGTGGAACACACTCAAAACAATGGACTCCCTGAGCTTATATGCTCGGTTGGTAAGCAAACAGAGGCGAGATGTAAGAACATCAGGTGATCCACACTTACTTTTGATCGTTTCGACTTTTGACTAAGACTAGATTTTCCATCGATCAGGATGTTGGCATTAACGAATTCCACATCGCAAGGACTAGGAGGACCTTCCAGTGAACGAAGTTCTTCGTCTTCGTCCGTGTAGGAGTCCAAAATGGTGGCGCCGGGAATTAATATTATGCCACCTTCGCCAGTCTAAAATAATGAAATGTAAATTAGGTTTTTTAAAAATTTTGTTCAATTTAAAATACTAATAATGGGCCTTAAGGACTAAGTAACTATTTTTTTAAAAATTAAGTTTTTTAAATGTAAAATCAACCATAAATAATATTTTTATTTATTAGATTATTCGTCATCATTTATATTAATACTTTTAATTTGCATACGCTGGATTATTATTACTTAAACAGTAATATGAGTAATATTTTAATATCATATATATTATTGTTAATCATTTTAATTTCTACTTTACAAGTTTATGTCATAAATGATAATTTTAGTTTTATATGTTATATTGAGATATAATAGTATAGTTATTCTACAAAAGTTGGACAACTTGACGTCATCAATCAATATTTGTAAATATTTTAGTATATTAGAAAAGATCCAGGTTTTTTTAACTTGTCCACCCAATTTTAATGTATTTTTTTCAAAAGCACTTTTGTAGAAAAACATAATAAATATTCAAAACATCAGTACCTTGGCGTGTCACCACTCCTGAATCAAATATTTGAGTGATTTTATTTTAAAATATATTCAATTTATCTTAAATTTTTCAATTTCACTACAAACTATAAAACATTAAAAAATGTATTTTTCATATTTTATTATAGATTCGAAAATCCACCAGCCGTCAGTGATGTGTGGTATTATTTGATTTTAACATATTTAATGTATAATATGCTCAAAGTTGCAATATGTCTTATATTTTCCAATAAATTATGTATTTAATTAGTACCCTGGTATACTCGTCACTTCCCTTGCATTCAAATTTAGAAAACACAGATATTTCAGAAACTGTTTGAAAAAGTGACTGGCCCGGTCTGGAACAGTATATTTATTACATTATCTATGTTCTCATAACAAAATACCGTTTAATTTTCTCCGAAAACTATATAAACAAAATGAGGTCAAAAGTTGCCCAACTTTTGTAGAATCACCCATATAATTATACGAGAGATAATGCAGCATAATTATTCAGGAGGATTAGGGATGCGTCTCGAGTCGTTAGACGAGAGACGCAAGCTTTCTAGTGTACTTTATCTACTTCAATTATTAGGTATTAAAATTGATTTTTTTATTACAGCGCCATCTATTACAAATATGAAAAAATGTTTAATTTTAATTAGGTACTAAATTGTTATCATTTATTAAAAACAAATTGAAGATTATAGAAACAATTCATTTAGGTATCTTCCCTAAACAAATTTAAATTAATTTAAAACCGTTAAAGACCCCATAAGAATTAAAAAAATGTCTTTTAATATTTTCTATTTTATCATGGGTTTAAATTAACATCCTATATATACCTATAACTTTAAAAGTAAATATATAAACTGTTACCTTTTTTTGTATAGGTATTAACAATTATTTTGGTTTTTTTTCTATTAGACCAACACTGGTTAATTGCATTAAAATATTGTTCCGCTATTTACCAATGTCCGAAATAGAGCGAATCATCCATTATATTACCTTTCGACGATTTTTTATTTCATTTTATTTAAATTTCGATTCAATACTTTCTATGGCATTTACTTATCTCGTCAATAGATTAAGGCAAGTCCGAATGACACTCTTAAATTTATCATTTTAAACTATACCCTCGACTATATATATGGTGATAAAATGGGTATAAATAAATAATTAACTCGTATAAATGTGTCAATATACAAACTAAAATAATGTGTACCAATGTCATTAACTTAACATTAGTTTATTATGATGACTAACGTTAATAATTTATTATTAATTTATTTTATTTCAATACAACATGATTCATAAAGACTGTAATTAGTTTTTTAACCGTTAAACGGGGTGAATAGAAATTTACTTAGAATTTTTGTTCAAGCTTGTTTTAGATTTGGATTACCTGATTTTATTATTTTATTATACTATGTAGTACATAGTATGTACTAAGGCTATCTGCCATTTGTCAGTTGCCCCTAACATTTCTATAATAATAAATTATATAATAAATTTAGACAGCTTAGGGCCGGTTTTTCAATTAGGGTTTAAACCTTGGTTCAGGGGAACTTAGATCAGTTAATGAACTCAGTTCACAGTCAAATGAGTTTTTCAATGTCGACTCAACAGCAGTTCTGTTGAACTTAAATCAGCGGTGTCAAAGTTAAGTTGGTACAACCGAATTTAGTATACGCCTACATTAATAGTAGTTAAAACTGTAATTTTGACAAAAGGATTTTGTGTTTACTTTTGGAGTTTTGTTTATCTGTGCTGTTTTAAAAAGTTATAATCTGTGCGAAAGGGTGCATTAAAACAATTTACTATTGTTAAAGAACAATAATTATTATTTATTATGGATAAAAATAAAAATAAACTTTACCTCTTTTAAGGAGGAATTATTTGTATACTACTAAAATCTATTACCTATTCAGTAATTATTTTTAGAACTAACCTATTGGTCGGATTTGCAATAACTGGTCTAAATAAATCCACTATACAAAAGGTTTGGAAAACCAAAATCTGGCAAAAAATTCATCATTAATCCACCTTTCAAAATGATTCGGTCTTACCCGTGGCCTGTGCACACGAAGTTGAATATTATTTAGGAATTCGCCAATTTCCTCATCATCCTCACTAACTACCTCAAACATATCCATTGGTTTATTATAACAGAAAATTACAAAACAAGAAGTAAACAACGTAATACACAATAAAGCAGAGAAAAATTAAGTTATGTCAAGTTGAACTTCGTTTAAACGGCCAACAGTGACAGTTCATCTTTTGATATAGTTTAAACCAAATTCAAGCTTGAACTTTGATTGAAAAACGGAATATTTTGTTTGAACCAAGTTCAAATGCTGAACCAAGTTTAAACTATGATTGAAAAACCGGCCCTTAGTCATTTTTTCTAAAAATTTACAATTTTTTACGGATAATACCCTTAAGCTTAATTTTTATGTATCCGTTTGTCCGTTATACGTTTTTCAATAAAATCGTCCGATAAGAAATGTTTTAATTTTCATGCATCCGTTTTTAATGACTTTTAACGGACTGATTTTGGCGACAAATAAAAATTAAGGGTAAGTTACAATTATGTCAACAATTGTAACTTTAACAGTTAGCTGTCTCATAAATTTAAAGGTAGGTTAATATACCATATAAAAAGAATATACTAGCCTTAATTTACATTAACCCTTTCGTACGCTATGTCCACTGCAGTGGAGTGGACATTTTTTTAACACCATTTATATTTTTAAATATTAAATATTTTGTCTCAAAAACATGTTGTCCATTATAGCGGACTAGACATAAAACACAGTAGATGACCGTATAATTACTTGACCTCTCTAAAGTAACTTTCTCCATTCCAGTGGACATGTCATATTATGAAAAAAAATAATGAAAAAATTTTTTTTTTCAAAAATATCTCAAAATAATACCAATGAATGCAACTATAACGAAAACATTTTTTTTTCAGTAATTTAAATTTGGCTCCGAAAGGGTTAAAATGTATAGTTTTAAAAAAGCAGGTCCTTTTAGTTCTGGTTTTAATATTTTATTGTTTGTCTTTTCTTTTTTTCTGTTATTTTTATTAAATAAAAACATAAAAGTAGAACATTATTCATATAACGAACGTTACCTATATTTCTGTTTTACAATCTTATTAAAAGAATATTAAAAGATTTGAAAATAAAGTCTTAAAATAAAGTTAGGCGTCAAAAACAGATGTGTAGTGACAGATTACTTAAAATTATTTTAAATTTCTCAGTCAGACGTACGAAGTTAAAACTTGACGGACGGAAAAAATGTCATAATTTTTGAATTATAATTGGACCTATAAGAGCGCTCCCGGATGAACGGACTAACGGACAAACGGATACATGAAATTGAAGCTTTAATATTATGATTATAATTCCTTTTATTTTAATTCAGTGAGAATATTCTACCGGGTCGCAAAAAAACACATTTGCACAGGACCATGGTCCTGTATTAACATAACTTTCGTTTTATTTGACACTTCGATTTATAAAAGTATAATTTTTTAATTTAACTTTATAAATCATTCATTATTTTGTAATTGGATATTTTCAATGGACTCCTTTTTGCAAAATAGGCCCAACCAACAATATATTTAATGTTTACGTTTATTTTCTTAAATCAATTTAATTTATTTTTTCTTGAACGATTTTTTTAAATTAAAATAATGTGCTTGATTGACACTTTTCAAATGTGTACCTATATTTTCAAAAAAAATCAATTTTTCCAAGGCCTAGAAAAAAAAAGGAATTTTAAAAACCCTACAATGAATATGAAAATGAATAGAATATTTAGAAAAATAATTCAGATGTAATGACAATTTTAATGCGTTATTATACTGTAAAACTTTTGTATAACCCTATATGTATGTGTCAGTACAACTACAAAAATTAATAAACGTCTAGGTCAGTAACCTGGAACTAATATTTTTAAATTACTTATTTAGATTTCTATAACAATGACTTCCGAGTAATGAACTTTCGAAGGACTCTGTTGTATGATGATGATAAATCACAAACATTTAATTTGCTCGAGTATTGGCCTTACAAAGTCTAAGGTTGTTACGAAACAAAGATTGTTTTTAATGCAAGTATAGGTATTATTGGAATAAAAACTATTGTTAATTTGCTAAAATTACTTAATTACTTATTGCGAGATGTTAGAAATAATTTTCTAAGTAACTTTCTGTTGCACAATTTCTTAATTTCGATGACCTTTTACGCGATTTTAGATTTCCTTATTCAAAATACGTTTTTGCACATTTGCTATTTTATTTCCATTAGGTACCTACGGAAGCGCTGAAGGGCCATGTTAAATAATTTTTAATAATAGGATTTCCAGTTATATTTCCAAATAATATCTCGAAATTCCAATTATCAATTGGAAATTTCCAATTAATAAGTAAAACAAAAAAAATTATGGGGATCTCAAAGTGGTTTTCGTTTCTCCTATCCAAAGAATGCCTTTTTGCGTTTACAGAATGTTGAGATTGATTCAGGTTTTTTTTAATATCGATTTTAAGTTTTATTAATTTTGGAACTCAAAAACCCGTTATTTATTAATAGACCAGGGTCGATAATTTTTGAAACAAAAAAAATTACAGTAGAATGAAACCCATTGGAAAAGGAGGAGAATATAATAAAAAAGAAAGAAAAAATAAATTACGGGCGATCTGACTTCGGGAAGTGGGAGGGGGGGGACTTTAAGGGTAAAAAATGGTTTATCTCGATTTCCGGCAAAAATACAAGTCCTATGGAAAAAAGTTAAATAGCAAAGTTGTAGGTAATAAAAAGATCTACAACTTTTGTATTTACAATTTTTTCACATAACCTCAAAATTTATGTGAAAAATTCAAATAACCAAGTTTTTGGTTTTTTATTTTTATCTTTTTCAAAAAAAAAAATTTTTCCACGAAATTTGGTGAAAACTTACCTTTTTATGTTCCAAATACACTGTAATTTATTTGATTTGAAATATTTATTATTTCGCCTTATTTTGACTTAATATCAAAAAAGCACCCTAATTTTCAATCGAAAATTCTCGCGTCAAAATATCAGCTTTTTTCAAAAAGTTGGTGTGCTTTTTGTTCGATGAACTCTCTACTTTCTGATGGTGTAAAAAAAATATACATTACTATGGTAAATGTTCTCAGAAAATACAAAAAATATTATAATGAATAACGTAATCAGAATGAAGTATCTAAATTCAATAGTATGATTTACATGTATTTTTATATTTTATGAGATTTTCTGACATAAATGTTATTAGAATTTAATAAATAAACTTTTTAACTAAAAAAAAAATGCAACAATCACATTATTTTGATGAAATTGTACATAATGATTAAAATAAATTTTCGAATTCGAGTTTTTTTCGTTTTTCATTATAATATTTTTTGCATTTTCTGAGAACATTTACCATAGTAATGTATATTTTTTTTACACCATCAGAAAGTAGAGATTTCAACGAACTAAAAGCACACCGACTTTTTGAAAAAACCTGATATTTTGACGCGAGAATTTTCGATTGAAAATAAGGGTGTTTTTTTGATATTAAGTCAAAATAAGGTGAAATAATAAATATTTCAAATCAAATAAATTACAGTGTATTTGGGACATAAAAAGGCAAGTTTTCACCAAATTTCGTGAAAAAAATTTTTTTTTTGAAAAAGATAAAAATAATAAACCAAAAACTTGGTTATTTGAATTTTTCACATAAATTTTGAGGTTATGTGAAAAAATTGTAAATAGAAAAGTTGTAGATCTTTTTATTACCTACAACTTTGCCATTTAACTTTTTTCCATAGGACTTGTATTTTTGCCGGAAATCGAGATAAACCATTTTTTACCCTTAAACCCCCCCCCTCCCACTTCCCAAAGTCAGATCGCCCGTAATTTATTTTTTCTTTCTTTTTTATTATATTCTCCTCCTTTTCCAATGGGTTTCATCCTACTGTAATTTTTTTTCACTTTTTACCATTTTTAAAGGCTTCGGCACTGGTCTATAATTTAAACCAAAACAAAAAAATTTTGGGGTTCTGAAAGTGGTTTTCGTTTCTCCTATACAAAGAATGCCTTTTTGCGTTTACAGAATGTTTAGGTTTTTTTAATGTCGATTTTAAGTTTTATTAATTTTGGAACCCGAAAAACCGTTATTTATTAATTTAAACCAATTAACTGGTAGTAAATTGTTGTCATAACAATAAATTAAAAAGAAATAATAAAAAATAAAACAAAAATTAAAAATGGGTGTAAACATGTCACTAAAAGTACATTTGCTCCATGCACATCTTGACCTGTTCGAAAATCAGCTGTCCACCGAATCAGAAGAGCATCAAACAATAATGGAAATGGAAAATCGTTATAGAGGAAAGAGGTTTGATTCAAAGTTGGCAGATTTGGTCTATGGCAATGGAAATTTTGGCATAAAATTATAAATAAAATTTGTTATATCTTTTATGTTGATTAATTCTATTTGTTAAAAAGAATATGTTTTTAATAATTAATATAATAATAATAATAATTACCATAATTTTAATTATGGTAGAAGCAAAAGAACTAAGAAATTGCACTATATTTTTTTTTAAAAATTGCATTTTATTGTTCTCATTATTTTTTTCTTTATTTGATTTTTATTACTTTATTAAACAATATTCAATCTTTTATGTACTAATTCTTTATTATTTTACGATATTTCGGGATCCAGAATTACTAAAACTAAATTGATATTAAAAAAACAGAATCAATCTAAACATTCTGTAAACGCTATAATTCATGATTTTGATCGTAGAAACTAAAAATACTTTCAGAACCCCATCATCTTATTTTTTTCCGAAAATGTAATGTGTAATTTAATAGACAGATTTTAAATTTATTTCCTTACTTTACAATATGAAACGTAGCTGCCGTTAATTAACAATCAATTTTGTTTGCAATTTTAATAAAACATTTGACCCATATTATAAACACAAATAAAATTATTTTGAAGGTGTACCGTAATAACTGAGAGGCTTAACGTTATAAATAAATATAAAAATACATTCGTTTTTTCGTTATTAAATTTAGCGTGGGTAATTATTTCGCTATTACGAGAAACTAACCAGAACCAATTATGCGATGGAAGCCGTTACTTTAAACATTTTGACTAACTCAAATCATTTACGTTTTGAGAAATTAATTAGTTTAATTAAATGCGGCCATCCGTTTAACGCGCGCTGTATTGTTATTAAGTTTTTAAGCGAGTTATGTTTCGTATCAAAAGGATTCCCAAGAAAGTATCTATGTAAAAAATGAAAATAATAATAATAACAAGATTGGTTCACACGATCTTTGTGTCTCCGTTCTAAAAATTTAAAATTTTTGATTTCAAACACTTTTTAAGTTTTAATTAATCCTGCTTAAAAATGGCGAGTTTAATAAACGCCATTTTAGTCACGAATTTAATTTCGGAAGGTGTTTAATTAAATGATTGCCTAAAAAAGTATTTTTCTACGACAAATCCTTAATATTATCTAAAAAATGATTTAAATTAAATATTTGTATAAACCTATCTCTATACGAAGATAAAGTCACCATCCCAATAAACATTTTTGACATAATTTTCCCCACTAACATTTTCACCATTAACATAAGGGTGATTCTACAAAAGTTGGGCAACTTTTGACCTCATTTTGTTTATATAGTTTTCGGAGAAAATTAAACAATATTTTGTAATGAAAACAGATAATATAATAAATATACTGTTCCAGACCGGGCCAGTCACTTTTTCAAACAGTTTCTGAAATATCTATGTTTTCTAAATTTGAATGCAAGGGAAGTGACGACTATACCAGGGTACTAATTAAATACATAATTTATTGAAAAATATAAGATTTATTGCAACTTTGAGCATATTATACATTAAATATCTTAAAATCAAATAATACCACACATCAGTGGAGGCTGGTGGATTTTGGGTATACCGATATCTCAATTATTAGATATGGGACCCACACCAAATTTATATTAGTTTATAATGACATTAAATAAACAAGTTCTGCGTAAGCAGAATTTAAATTGAAGTTTGCGAAAAAAAGATAACCGAAACATCGAACATGGAACTGACGACACAGTACTGATGAAGGGGATACAAATTTGATATTATAATTCGGAATTAAGTATTTTACTGATTTTTTTTATTAGTGGATGCTACTTTTCAACAAATCACATATAGTACATTTAGAAGAATGTTATTTTTGTGAACAATTCGAAAACCCAATAAAAAGAAGAAATGCCAATAATTTGCAGATAAGTTTGAAATTAAAATTAAAAAAATGGTGTGTTTGATTTATAGCAATAAGTTAAATTTTTTTGTTTAAACTTTTAAACTAACCTTCATTAAAACCATTTTTTTAAATCGTATACTTGATCACCAAAACGCACGTGCGCATTGTTTATTAAACCTAGTGGTGTGTGCAATTTTTTTATCATTTGCGTCGTTACCTGCTAAAATGAACAAACTGTATTTTTTTTAATATACGGAACTAATTATCGCGGGTACCAAGATGAGACCAAAGTGCCACTAGCTAAATTGTCACGATTTTCTGTAATTTTCGCAACAAAACTGTAGTTTTACAGCTACGAATTATAATAATCCACAACAAATTTTAAGTTTAAGCTATAATAACTAGGCATGTTTAACGGGTTTTTTATTATACAAGGTGTCCCTAAACTTAGTGGCATAAATTTAGGAGCAGATAAAGCAAGTCAAATAAGACGAAAATCTAAATAAATATTTTTCCTAATTACGTATGTTTAAAAGATACAGGGTGATAAAGTATTACTTATCATATCAGTTTTTTAAATATAACTTCTACTGTGGTAGACTTGGAAAGGTGATATTTTGCGAACAGTCACTTACTACCAAAACACATATTCACACGTAATGTGTTTGTCCATTGTGTATAGTCCTTCGGAGGGGACTTTAAGCCGTCGGTCCGTTCCTACCCCTAACCCGCACAAGCCATTCAGTTGGCTTATGGGACATCTTAGTTTGGATGTAAGGGTGGAACTAAAAAGAGCACTTTAACTCTACATATACAGTGTGTACTGGATCGAGTTGCCAATAGGAGCAATAGGAATTACAATTGTTCGAGTTAACACAGCGTCGTAGAAACAGGGGTTTCTTAAGCTTATTGTCCCATACAAACTTTGAGGTTAGGTTTTTATACCATTTGATGCAATTTTTCGATTACTCAGTTTAGCTACTATTAAAAAGGTGTATCTCTCAAACTTCGATAAAATAAACCGTTTCCGAGATATTCGAGATTTCAATAATTGTTATATCGCATTAAAGGACTAGAAGGTATATGATAACAAATTTTTTAATTGAAAAAACTATTATTTTTTTAATGTGACGGTCAGGGCAAAAAGTCCTGAGGCTCATGGAATGCCGTTTTTTCAATTAAAAAATAAAATTTGTTATCATATACCTTTTAATCCTTTTAAATAATGCGATATAAAGGCCGTATTACAGCCGGCAATTCTTCTTGCAGCAATTTTTCTTGCAGCAATTATTCTTGCCATCAAGTTTTCAAGGCCGTATTGCATGTTGTTTTACAGTCAGCAATGGCAAGACAACTTGCTGTTTATTACCGTGCTACCAACCGAAGAAAAATATACGATTTTGTAAACACTAAGTTTATTTGTTATTTAGTGGAGATATTTAAAAATTAATGAGTGAAATGGATACTAGAACTATGAACACAATGCCAATCATAAAACAAATAACCTTAAACTGTTTAAGTCAAACAGCGTCTCTCTAGGGAATTTGTGGTAGGGTTGGTAACATAAAAGTTACCAGATTTCACCCCAGAATTGCCGTAAAACGGCAATAAAAATCCATCCGGACCGATTTTCGGCAATTGCAAGAGATTCGTCGAAATGTATCTAGCGCGCATGCCTACGGCAATTTTCATTGCAATTGCCGAAAGAATTGCCGGCTGTAATACGGCCTTAACAATTATTGTAATCTCGAATATCTCGGAAACGGTTTATTTTATCCAAGTTTGAGAGGTAAAGCATTTTAATCGTAGCCGAATTGTGTAATCTAAAAATTGCATCAAATTTTATAAAAACCTAACCTCAAAGTTTGTATGGGACAATAAGCTTAAAGCAACCCCCGTTTCTACGACACTGTGTTCACTCAAACAATTATAATTATGTGTGAATATGTGTTTTGGTACACAGAGAGAAAAGACTCATTTATTATTACAAAATATAAGTTTCGAACACATTTCTTTTTAAGTACCATAAAGTTATAATTTTTAAATTTTGAAATATAATAAATAAACTTTTTGTTTAATTGGTAAAACATGATGAATTCCTAGAACTTAATTATTGCCTCAAGATAAGATATCTCTAATTTTTTAATAAATAATATAGAATAGATTTTAAACACACGAAGGTGTTTTGCTGGTTGATGTCTTGGTTATTAACAAAAAAAGAGTATTAGGAAATAATTTTGCGGTTATTTAAGAAGTTATATGAATAATAGTTAGCTGTCATAGTTTAAATGTATTACACTGGTTTAATATCAGTAATCTTACAATAACTACAGAATATTACACTATGAGGCAGAGCTGCAAGCTCTCAGAAAACTTAAATCGTTTTTTTGATTTAAATCGTTTTAATGACTTAAGTCATTTGGTAATAAGTCATTTCTCTAAAACTGACTTAAGACTTAAAATTTAAGTAATTTTCAAAATGATTTGTGACTTAAATATTTTTTTCAAAATAGAAAAAACTTAAGTCATTAATAAAAGGCTTAAATCAGTACATACGATTTAAGTCAGATAGAAACGATTTAAGTCTTTTTGAAAAAGTCTTTTTAGAAAATATTTAAGTCAGATTTTTCATATATTTTTTTATAAATTTTTAACATCGGCATTTTCTTTTGAACTGCCAGGGCTTCACGCGGCAGCAGATCAAAAACTAATTTCCTACCTACAATTGCTACCGCTAGTGAATAAAAAAACCACCCCGTTAAAGTTAGCTTTTCGGAACCGTTTGACGGCTACATTAAAAAATGTCCTGTCTAAAATGAATTAAAAATTTTGTTATTTTGTTTCCCAACATTCGTCGTGTTCGTGCGTAGTTAGGTCTAATAATTTGTGATTATTAGTGCAAAGTGGAAACAATCGGTCGTGAGCGGTCGCGAGCTGTCGTACATCTTGAGCGGTCGAACCAGCTAACAAAAATTAACAAAACAACAAGTTATCAGCGAAATACAGCGATTTTAAGAAAAATGCTTCAACTTTTATCTATTTTAACAGAGTTTGAATCTATTACCGTTTAGAAGTTACCCATTTATGTATATAAAAAAGTAGCCTCCCTGTATGTCTACTCTACTAAAAAAGGTGGTTTAAGTTTTTATTTTTATTGTCTACTATATACTCAAAAATGTGTTTTTATTTTGTTTGTAAGTGTTCTGAAAATAAATCGTTTTAAATTCTTAACATAGTGGTGTATTATCATGTGTATCTACAATAGATTAATAATATCAGTATCATTAATACCATAAAATTAATATTAACATTTAAAAAATCGTTGTATTGACTTAAGGGTAATTATTTTGATTTAAATCACAATTTTTGATTCAAGTCATTTTATTGACTTAACTCTTAGATCACGATTTAAATAAAAAATATAGACTTAAGTCATAAAAACGACTTACTAAAGGAATTAAGTCATAAGATGACTTAAATCACTTTATATTGATTTAAGAATTTGCGAAAATGACTTGACTTGAAAGAAAATGATTTAATTCAAAGACTTAATACTTAAATCATTTAAACTTTATCTTAAAATTGACTTTAGATTTAAATCATTTTGATTTTAGAATTGACTTAAGACTTAAGATTTAAGTCTTTTTAAAACTGACTTGTTGCAGCTCTGCTATGAGGTAATAGTTAACTTATCGGGTAATAATAAATCTACGAAGAGATGACTCGTAGACGTTTTTATTATTATTATCCAAACAGATTTCTTAATACTTATTATTATATATTATTTATTGCTATAGCATGGTGTTATATGTAATAACTTATTACTATTTACTAATAAGATTCATTTATACCCAATAAACCACTGGAGTGGGGATAAAAAATATGCCGCATAGGCTATGCGAGTTTCGATTAGTTCAGTTAAGACTCTTAAGAGATTTAGTCGATTTCCATCATAGAATAGTAATAGTTGCACCATTAAGTGGAAACGTTTTTTTGTGTGCAAATTATGGAAAATTCCAAGGCAGATTGTCAGGAACTCTTAACTAAGTGTACTACTGTAAAGAATATCACTCCAGTGGCATTGCACAGAAACGGCAGTTATGTTTTCTTGGTAAAAAAATACTAAAAGTAATATTTTTATGAAGAATAATGAAATCATATTTTGTTTCCGGAAGCTCATTATACATGAGTGGTAACTTCGGATTTTTAGTCAGTTCTAAAAGGATTTTTTTATTTTTATATACCGGGCTCGGTATATACCTACGGATATATAGGGAGCCCGGTAAATAGAAATAAAACAGTAAATATAAAGCATTAAAAAAATAAAAATTAAATTCTTTTAGAACTATTATAGTTCTAACTACAAATCACTGATTTGAAATCAGAAGTTACCACTCATCTTTAATGAGCTTCCGGCAACAAAATATCACTACATTCTTTTTTTTTAAATATTACTTTAATTATTATTATTTTTATGTAGGTACTCATAGGTATAAGCTTACTCTAAATGTATTCATTTTTCAATGGCGGCTGGTGGATTTTGGCTATACCGATATCTTAGTTGGTGTGGGTCCCATGTATATATGGGTATACCCAAAACCCCCCAGACGCCACTTTCTTTTTTTTGTTCTGTTACACCTTAAATATTTTTAAACTTTTTTCAAAAATAAATTTTCTTATAAATACACACTTTTATTTATTACCTTATACAATCGCACTGTTATAAATATATTCTATACTAATAATCATACATTTCTAATAGTTAAAATATGAATTGATAATTGCAATTAATTAAAATATTTATTATTATTTCTCGCATTATAATAAACACCTATTGCCTTTTTAATACAAAGCTCTTGTGGATGAAGTATTACCTTAAGTTCATTTACTATAAATAGGCTTTTCTAATATAAAGCGCCTGTGGATTAACTATTAAGTGAAGACCAATTACTATAAGAATACTTTTCTAACATAGCGTTTTTTTTATTAATAGCTAACTAACTAATGTTTTAACTGTTACCGAACTAACTTTTATTAACAAATAAATATGATATACTTTAAGATGTGTTTACTATAAACCCATATGAGGTCGGCAAAATACAATGCTACGTTAAGGTGAATA